ACGCCCTCACACAGCATGCGGGGTTCAATTTATGTAATCTTTCATATCAAATGTGACCTTTGATTTACTGTTTGGATTATTACCAAAATAAGCTCTTCTGTTACCTTAGTACCATGTGTTTGGAATGTTGTACTTGCTGTTAAGGTTAGTGTGATCGCTATTCTCATTACCTTGTATTTATGTTATCACTACTGTGTTACTGAAATCGCACTGTTGATGGCAAATATATGATTGTTATAATGTAGTCATTGCAGTTTAAATATCCACTTTTTATAGAGATTTTCTTTTGGCAACTTCCGCATGCAGTTGATTATTCTGATTGCAGTCCAATCAATAATTTGACCGTACCAGCTACCAGCCAAAGAACAGGGACAATACAATTGAGTTCCTTTGTGACTGATAAACATACTCGTCTCGTTAAAAGCCCGGTCACACAGAGAGGACGCCTGGGGAACGCACGGCCAGCGCATGGGAAATTTGCAATTTTGGCCAGTGCGTTGTCGTGCAACCAACTTTTGTCGAAGCTACAGCGAGCTGACACCAAATGCATAGCGTGTTGCTAGCGCGCTGAGCGCATACAGGGCGCATGCAGTACGCATACAGACCGTAAACTGATGAGTTTACCGAGATCGTGTCCAACACCTCAAACACGAAAGTCCCAGCGCATGGTATCGCTATATCAAGGTCATGTCTTCCAACATGCAACAGGATGTGTCAATCGCACTGGAAGATGTTGACGCGACTGATTCGGTAGCAATCGCCAATGCTATCAACTCCTACTTTGTTAGCATAGCCAAAGACACACCACCCCTTGCAGCAAAGAACATTCCTGCTTATAGACCCTTTCCACTACACTCGATACCTTCTGTCCAACCATGGTCAGTCTACAAGGAACTGTCCAAAACGCACGTTGGAAAAAGTGGCGGTCCAGATGGAATATCCCCACGTTTGATCCGTGAATTCGCCGTTGAACTCAGCTCCCCATTATGCAACATCTTCAATGCCTCCTTTGAGCAAGGCAAAGTTCCAAGTTGTTGGAAGAAATCACTCATTGTTCCAGTTCCAAAGGAAAACCCGCCTACCTTGCACAAGCTGCGACCTATAGCCCTAACAGACTTCTTTGCAAAGCTCCTTGAACTGTTTGCTTACAAATGGCTCATGGCAGATATCTCCCCTGTAATCGACTCTCAGCAATTTGGCAACCGCTCTGGCCTATCAACAAGCCACTACTTATTGAACTTGCTAGAATACTTGCACTCCAATGCTGACAAGTCCGGATCAATCACAACAGTGGTACTTACAGACTTCTCTAAAGCATTTGATTTAGTTGACCACAATGTCGCAATCAATAAGCTGTTCACCATGGGTGCAAGACCACCCCTCATCCCATGGGTATGCAGCTTTCTCACAGAGCGTACCCAACAGGTTCGCTACAAGAACCAACTCTCTAGGAACCTTACCACGTCGGCAGGGGTTCCTCAAGGCACCCGTCTCGGACCGCTCATATTTCTCGCTGTTGTCAACGACGCACTTCAGACGTCAGATTGCCACCGATGGAAGTATGTTGACGATCTCACAGTGGCCGAAACTCGCCGAGTGAACTCCCCATGCAACCTCGACACGACCCTCTCTTCCTTTGAACAGTGGTGTGAGGAATCAAACATGCGCCTCAATCCCACCAAATGTCAGGTCATGCAAATCTCCTTCGCGCGTCGCCAACTGCCTCACCCGAGATAAAGCTTCTTGATCAAATCATACCAGAAAGTCAGCATGTAACACTGCTTGGCGTGATCGTGAGGAACGATCTTCGTTGGACAGATCATGTCAATAATGTCACATCGAGAGCCGCAAAAAAGCTCTATATCTTGAGGATGCTCAAACGTTTTGCTATGCCTACAACGGACCTCCTCACCGTATTCACCTCATACATCAGGCCGATCCTTGAGTACTGTTGTGTAGTTTGGCACTTCTCCCTAACCCTGCACCAAGAGAACCAATTAGAGCGTATCCAGAAGCGTGCCCTTCGGACCATACTAGCCGGTGGGTACGAGTCTTATCAACGTGCTCTCAGTGCTTGCGACCTGGTATCGCTCAAAGAAAGGAGAGAGGACCTTTGTCGGGTCTTTGTCAACAAGCTGTTCAAGAACTTTCGTCATTGGCTACCGGAAAGCCAATCATCAAACAGACAAGCAAGACACAGCAACCGATTACGAGAACTAAAGTGTAGGACACAACGCTACAAAAATAGTGCGATCCCACAAATTATCAAACTGCTGAACTCTAAATAGTGAATTGAAGATTAATGTTTGAATGTTGCCTATAAATGTGGAAATCTATTTATTCTTGCCTCAAAATTCTTTTCTTTAAATCAATCATTCTGAAGTGCATTCCCATTAACTTGGATAAAATAACTTTTCAATTACATTTTTAATTTGTTTTATATTATACCAGCTCTGTGTTTGTGGAAATGTATTTACTCTTGCCTCAAAATAACTTTTTACAAATCAATTCCTTCCCACTTATGTGGATGAAATAACTATTTTCAATTACATTTTCAATTACATTTTCAATTTTTTAAAATATTATTCCAGCTCTGTGTTTGTGTTCCTCTCTCTCTCTCTCTCTCTCTCTCTCTCTTTGTTCTTCTCTCACTCTCTCTCTATCTCTCTCGCTCCCTCTCTCTCTCCCTCACACTCCCTTCTCTTCTCCCCTTCTCTCTCCACTCCCTCTCCCTCAACATTCCTTTTCTTCTTTCCTTATCTCCCCGCTCCATATTTGCTTTATTTATGTCTTCCCTTTATGAGTTTAATTGAGGTTCTTGTCTTTGAATTATTGTTAAATAACGAACTGTAAATATGATTTTTTTTTTTAAATACTTTTTAAATAAAATATCTGTAAATCATGCAGGCAATTCAGCCATTGGCTGCGATATGTTGATGAATAAATACCATACTATACTATATATAAACAGACGAATGGTTCACGCATGCACCGAGTTCTACGACGCACTGCCCGCGCATTCGAAATCGGAAAAGGCCGTGTGCCTAACTTTTGTCATGATTTTGGAAAAGCTAGCGAGCTGACAAAAAATGCACAGCGTGTAGCTAGCGCGCTGTGCGTATACAGGGCGTGTGATCCGCGTATGTCTGGCGCTGGTCTAGCGCGCTCCACGCATGTCTGGCGTGCCTTTGGCGTGTGCATTCATGCGTCGAGCTCCGCGCACACTTTTGAGCATGCTCAAAAAAACCCGACGCACACAGCGAATGACGACGAATGCATAGCGCTGGTCCAGCGTTGGTCCAGCGCACTCGACGAACGAGTAACGAATGAAGACGCACGCCTAGCGAACGACAACGCATTGGCCCAAATTGCAAATTTCCAATGCGCTGGCCGTGCGTCCCCCCATGCGTCCCCTCTGTGTGACCGGGCCTTAAGGCCCGGTCACACAGGGAGGACGCATGGGGAACGCACGGCCAGCGCATGGGAAATTTGCAATTTTGGCCAGTGCGTCGTCGTGCGCCCAACTTTTGTCGAAGCTACAGCGAGCTGACACCATTAATGCATAGCGTGTTGCTAGCGCGCTGGACGCATACGGGGCGCATACAGGGCGCATACAGGGCGCATACAGGGCGCACACAGAGCGCACATGATAACAACTTCGACGAATGCACAGCGTGTTGCTAGCGCGCTGGACGAATGGTCCACGCATGCACCGCGTTCTACGACGTACGGCCAGCGCATTGGAAATCGGAAAAGGCCGTGTGCCTAAATTTTGTCATGATTTTGGAAAAGCTAGCGAGCTGACAAAAAAAGCACAGCGTGTAGCTAGCGCACTGTGCGTATACAGGGCGTGTGCTCCACGTATGTCTGGCGCTGGTCTAGCGCGCTCCACGCATGTCTGGCGTGCCTTTGGCGTGTACATTCATGCGTCGAGCTCCGCGCACACTTTTGAGCATGCTCAAAAAAAAACCGACGCACACAGCGAATGACGACGAATGCATAGCGCTGGTCCAGCGTTGGTCCAGCGCGCTCGACGAACGAGTAACGAATGATGACGCACGCCTAGCGAACGACAACGCACCGGCCCAAATTGCAAATTTCCAATGCGCTGGCCGTGCGTTCCCCATGCGTCCTCCCTGTGTGACCGGGCCTTTAGGCGAGTAAATGATCGACCTTGTAAATACTTTTCGTTTCCCTGCATTTGAAACAAAAGGTGCGTCTGTAAACGCTTAGGTATTAGGCAGTTTTCTGCCATTAATTTCCGACTCATCATTCAAATGCGTCTCGGACGTGAATTCGATTTCTATAAAATGGGCAATTTTATCTCGAGATGTGGACTGACTGAAATGCCACGGCCCTCCGCTAAAAATGTGTCGATAATTATAAGGCACATGACGGAAGAGGGGGGGGGGGGGGGGGGGGGGGGGGGGGGGGGAGGGGTATTGGAGTGTCACCCCCAGCACGAATAATGATGAATAAATTACAGAGAATGCGGGGTTTGAATATAAAACAATAACATTACAGACCTATGACTAAGTTACTAACTTTAACTTTTCCAGTGATTGTCATGGTCTTCCGCTAAGTTTTCGAAATTGCATAACTTTCTCATTAGTTATTCTATATTCCTTATGTTTTTATTCAATTGTTTGTCTTTGGTTGCTGACTATTTGATTCTCCTGTTATACATAATTTCATATCTTTAGGTGGAATCCACTTTGCATTAATTAAATGTTGCCATGTCTGGCAAGCCTCTGGCAGGTTTTTGAGTTGTCAAGGAAAACCTTCAAGAAATAAGCGTGAAATGAAAAACCCAGTCCATACAATTTGAATCACATTTATTTAGTTTAAGATATGTTTTACTTATAAACCAAGGTCTGTTATTCAAAATAGATTTGGAATTGATATGATGCCGGAGGAATCCAACTGAAGCTATTCTTAAGATTGAGAAATTAATGCCAATAATTCACTACAAATAGACATCGACAATCTAACTGGTAAGCATGGATGGTTTGACAGCATTACATGTTCTTACAGTCCTCGTGCTTGTTTATGGTAAGTATTTTTTATTTTTTATATTTAAAAAGTTCTAATATTACGAAATGTGGGTGTGATGAACTCAAGTACATAAAAACAACCATAGTAATATGAACAATCCTTTATGAAATATATTTCTATTAAGTCCACTATGCAAGGTCTTAATTTAAATGAAAATGACCGTTTTGGAAGTGACTTTAGAGGATTAGATTGAATATAAACTGCAATGTCTACCAGACATTACACATCACTATTACTCAGAAAATTCCATGCATATGCAAATATTTCAGCGCGTTCATATATTAAATCTTACACAAATGGATATTTACTTGTTAATTCCTTTTTTCTCGATTTCTCGCATTTGATTTCCAGAGTTTTTGTAAACTTTGATATGAAAAAATTACACTTTGCTTTGAAACATCACATTAAATTTGAAATAAATCTTTAATTAAACAATCAACTGTAAGAATAGATTGAATCAACAATCTTCCAGATACGGATATAAACTCGTAAATGAGTCCCTTTATACATGAATTTCCCTGATATTGCCCGGGGAAAGATAATCAGAGCTACTCGTCCGGCCCGTGGTCTTGTAATAAATATGATTGTAATTTTTGCCATTTAATGCTTAACATGGTCCATTATAATATATCCTTTTACGCTTCATCACTTCTTTTTCCATTATAAAAGAAAGAAACTTATATATTTTGTTCATCCATATCAATTCTTATAAATCCAATTGAAGTGAATTCAAATATAAGAGTGACATTTTGAAGTAATAGTGCCAATAACGCAGGTGTTATTTTCTTGATTGTTCAAGAGTTTTGTTTCCTTTTTCAGAAATCAGTGGTCAAACGGCAACTGTGGTAGCTTCTTCCCCAGTAGCAACTGCAACTAAAAATATTTCACTCACATGTACTGTGACTGGTGGACCAGTGAACGCGATTCAATGGATTGATGACAATACGGTTGAAACTATCTATTCAGGATCAAACCGTATTAGTGGTGCAGATAAGTACCTTAACTTTGAGTTGACATCATCATCAGCAAGTGAATCTGTGATGATGATTGTGAATGCAGAACTCGAGGATGATGGGATGTATAGATGTGACATTTCCACAGGGACGGATGCTAGTATAATCATTGTGGTAGAAGGTGAGTACAATGCATGCATTTTAGGCATTGTGTGTCGAATGGCAAGGTATTTTGGCTTTGATATGAGGAAACAGGCGCGTACGCAGGGGGGGGTTAAGGGTTAACCCCCCTTGTGTTTCTTTTGTGTGTATGTTTTTTGTGAACCCCCCCCCCCTTTGAGTTTTTTTATTATGCCAATGGCTGACCTAATTTTTTTTTCAAATTTCGAGACCAAAAAAAAAGGAAAAAAAAGTGTCGTCTTACCCCCCCCCCCCCCCCCCTCCCTCCCCCCTCCCTCCCCCCCCCCCCACTGAGCGACTTTTCGGGTGGCTGAGTCGTTGCGATTTTTTTTGGACTCCAAAAACAAAACAAAAAATGTCCGCTTACGCCTCCCCCCCCCCCCCCCACTGCCCACTGACAGATTTTCGGGAGCAAAATAATAAAGCTGAGTCGTTGCGAAATTTTGGGCCTGATTTTAACCCCCCCCCCCCTTGACAGAATCCTGCGTACGCCACTGTGAGGAAATATATACACTTTGTTAACGTATATTAAATTGTTCTCAAAAAATAGTTGTAACTCTCAGCCTATTTAGAGTAGCTATACTTAAAAGATTATAATTATTCACTTAATATTCAGGGAATCAAGAAAGTGGTTGATTGATTGTGCATAAATCTATTTGAAAAACATTGAAAAATTGAATTTTTAAGAGATTTATCATAAAATGAATATTGATGTATACCTCTGTTTTATATAATTTGATCTAAATTTATTGGAAAAGCAATCCTAAATACAGACAGCCCCCCCCCCAATAATGGCTCGTTGACCCATTCTACACCACTGCCCATGTACATGTAGGTGATAGGCAACCATTGATGTTATGTGTATTATGTATTCTGAATCAGGACTCACTCTATGGCATGTTATATTTCTTAAGTTAATCAATGGTTCTTTTTATTTGCTATATTGTTTAATGTTACATTTTATACTGTTTCTTATGGAAATAACATTTAATCTGAATCTGATTATAAACCCCTTGCCTACGTGAACCGGTAGACTCCTGTATATAAGCCTATGGGAATGAGATGATTCAGTAGTCAATGGGTTAAGACATCTGTCATTGTTTCTTCCTACTTCTAGCTGCATCTACTAAGACATTGACTCTGACTAGTATTGTGACAGACAATGAGGATATGTACGTAGCTACATGTGATGCTGTTGGAGGCAAGCCACAAGAGACTATTACATGGACCCTCAATGGAGTTCCACAGACTGATGGCAATGGGAACACGATAGTTGAATCAAACCCACCAGCTACAGCACCTTTCTCTAACACAAAGAGCGTGTTCACATTTCCTGCAACTCCAGAGAATAATAGACAGACCTTGGTTTGTCAAGTCTCTGGGCATCAGATTACAGAGCTGAATGGAGATAAATCTATAGATTTAGATATTCATGGTAAGTATCATTTAAATTTTGGATAAAAGAAGTCAAATGTTTTCATTGTTCACATCTTTGACATGTTTGGGACAATACAAGTAACGTCATGTTCAGACAGCACAGTCAGTAGACCAATGGTTTTATATTCGGATATACAGGGCGTATCATAATAAAGGATATTGAAGTTTAATGACGATTTATATGATCACTACTGATTTCATAATCAAGCATTTTATATCTGTTGTAAAGGACAGAATGTCCTCTTTTTAATGACACCCCGATCATACTACTACTGTCACAGTTGACTGAATAACAAAGCATTGCTGTCCACCATGTGAAAGGTGCACTGTGCCAAATTTGATAACATTTCCTTCTTAGACACATAATCCACTCATTGTTCATCATTTCGATATGTCGGGGCTGACACAAGCACTAATCTTTAGAATTTATCTGTGAATGCTAACTTGTCACAGTGCACCTTTCACATGGTGGACAGCAATGCTTTGTTATTCAGTCAACTGTGACAGTAGTAGTATGATCGGGGTGTCATTAAAAAGAGGACATTCTGTCCTTTACAACAGACATAAAATGCTTGATTATGAAATCAGTAGTGATCATATAAATCGTCATTAAACTTCAATATCCTTTATTATGATACGCCCTGTAAACTGCATGGATGAAAATGTTGTCCTGATACCTATTATATACAGGAGTACTTGATATCAGATTTGAATGAGTGTAGCAACTATATTTTTTAATTGGATAATAAACAGTGTGAATAAAAAATATTTAGTTAAGATTTTATTCAAAATTTACTGAGTCTGAAGTTTTGAATGGTCATAGCCAAAATAAAAAACTTTTTAGTAGCAGGCTTTGAAAGGTCATATCTTTAATCCAACCTGTTCGTCCTTGCCTAATAATAGTTATTTGTAACCAAATTATAGGGCAATGTTTAATATAGATACAAAAGGACAGTATGTTCATGTAGATATGACACTGAGAGATCCGACTGAGTTCAATTTAACCTTTAACAGAATTCGGCAGAAACCTTAGGTCTCCATAGAGTTGTAGAGTGTCGGTCTTTCTTGAAGAGCTATAGATGAATTTGTTTTTTCTTCTCAATTCTCTCCTACCAACCCAGCCTCCCCATCCGATGCCGGTACCACTGTCACTGCAGCTTATGAAGCCCAGGGAACAAGCATCACAGTGTCATGTAGTGCCCTAAATCAACCTAGCCCAGCCATGAGAAACTACTACATATTCTTCAAGAGCACACTCATACATGAATCTATGGACGGGGGCAACACTGTCTCTGTTTCAGATCCTGGGGCGGGTACAGAGTACACGTGTATAGCTGGCAATTACCTTGGAAATACAACACTAAGTGCAGCAGTACCTTATGGCCCAAGAAGTAAGTAATTTTGCTGTATTTTTTGTACATGTATGTCTGTGATGTGAGAGATGAGCATGTTTTTGCACATCTTTTTCCTTTTTATTGTTGTGTTTTGTTTATTACATGCCAAGCTGTGTTGGGAGAGGGGTGAAGAACAATTCAAATCTCAATTAAATCAATGCTCATGCTGTAATAGAAAGTGTGATGTCCTGTTTAGCTCTGAAATTAATGCTGAGTTAAGGAGAGGAGGCGAAATGATGAGGTGCAAAAGGAATTTAAAGTGACTGTGATAAGGGAGGAGATAAGAGAGAGAGAGAGAGAGAGAGAGCAGACTGAGATGGTATGGATACGTGGAGAGGAAAGATGAAGATGAACTGATTAGATGGACAGCAGAGAGAAAGGAGAAAGAAAGAAAGACATAGGAAGAGGTGGATATAATTAAGGAAGACGTTGACAGGGAAATGGCTATAGACTGGACAAGATGGAGAGCGGTAACAAGGACCCCCCCCCCCCCTCTCATCTACCCATTGAGTGTTCACTAAATAATGATGAAGTTGAGTTCAAGATTTTCAAATTTGCAGTCAGAATTTGAATTCAAACCGGCAGTAGGTGAAGCCACACACAATTAATTGCTTGAATTTAAATGCACATAGATCTCCATTACAATGAATTATACTCATGACATTTACAGATGATAATTGTTCATATTTGTGTAGTATCTTATGGTGGTGTTGCAATACAAATCATCTTATTATATACACGTATTATGTACATCCCTCATGTACCCACCCTCACACATACATGTATGGGGGGATGGAGAAAGAGAGGAATAGAGAGAGAGAGAGAGAGAGAGGGAGGGAGAGAGGGAGAGGGAAAAAGGGAGACAGAGGGAAACAAAGAGGGAGAGAGAATGAGAGAGAGAGAGGGAGAGAGAGAGAGAGGGAGAGTTGGTGGAGGGAGAAAGAGGCAGACAGAAGGAGGGAGATAGAGAGAGGAAGAGGGGAGTGATATGGGGGGGGGGCAAAGGGGAGGGGGGTGCGTGGTCACAGAGAGAGAGAGAGAGAGAGGGGGAGACGTACTGGGAATGGTGAAAGCGAAAGGACTGCAGAGGAGGGAGCGGAAAATATAATTCATTTGAAAGAAATTGATTTCTTGACGCTGTGGGTGCATGTTGCATGTGGTATTAAAGACCACTGTAAAGCCACGTTGACATGTGGCAAATGTTTCGGTCGCTACTTGGCATTACCTATCCCACAAAAAATACAACAATCTGCATTTTACATTTTAACCTCATATGAAATATGAAGCATGTTCATTTTTGTTTGTCTCGATGCCCCCATTTATTGTTTGTTATGCTTTTTACCTGCAAAATATATGTATGAAGGAGCTGTTGCAAAGATATCTACAAATGTACAATTTCTTTTTTTATCGAGTACGAGTATGCTTAAATTCCCATGCTGATTCTCATTCTCGTATTTCTTAAGTACACAGTTTCGATTAATATTCAGCTGTGATTGATTCAGAGTAATCGCGACTCTTTATGATACAGGGCTCAGATCATTGATGTTTGATAACGGTATATTCGCCTTCGTGTTTCGAATGATCTTGACAGAACCTGTTTTGGCAATCATACAGCCGTATGAGCGCTTTCAGAGTAATCCTCAGCCATTCATGTATTAAGTGTATTTGAGCTTCAGTCGAGAATTGTTCTGAAATGGTCCCCTTTGTGAGAAGCGTTGGGTGTTGTATACAACTTTAGTTTCCCGTTGTAAATGAAACACAAAGGAGTGGAGAGTGAATTAACTCTCAAAAGCTCCTCGAAATATACGTTAGAGTTGTCAAAATATAAGGATTTGTAGCCATGAATAGTTGTCCTTTTTATATATTTTCCCCTACTTTTTCTTCTTTCATTCTGATTGTTGGTACAAAGGTAGAAAACGTAATGGACAAGAATGTAGGCATGTAGCACAACTCAGTTACAAAGTTACAGACATAAGGAATGTACATGAACATAACGTCAGATTTTCCCGGGTAACATTGTGAATGTGCCATACAACAGCTATTTAATCTAACATCCCCTATTTTATTTGTTTTCTTTTTCTTTTTGCTCATTTCCCATACCATAAACAGGAACAACTACCCCTCCTCAAACGACGGGTATGTCAATCGTTTTTTCTTCCGTTCTATTATCATTTAATTCATTCATTTATTCTCAATAATACACAAAATGGTGTGCGTTACCATCTACGCGAATGCTTATTGTCAGTTTCCAACAAATTATAGTAAATTCATAAACAAATTTGGATTCAAATAAGCGATGAAACGTTGTGTTTATTTTCTTATTCTTTGCTTTTATATAATTTAGTTGATTTATTTTCATTTTAGAAATTCCATATCATTGGTATTTCCAGTCCTCTGCCGTTTCAGCATTTTCTGTTTTCTTCGTTTCTTTTGTCATCTTTTAAAGTACTTGCAACTGTTTACAATATTTCATGTCCATGAACCTACTGTCAGTATTCCTTTTAATAATTATTCATCATGCATGATATTTACCTGGCAAATTTCCATGTACTAATAGTTATGTCCTCCCACTAAAAGTAAAGCCTGGGTCACAAATGCCATTACGAACTGCTACGAACGCCGTACGAACGATTTTCAGACAATGGAAATTCTAGAAGACCTTGGAAAAACAAGGAGGTTCGTACGAACGACGCATTCGTACGAACCTTTGTGACCGTAGCATAAGCGACTATTAGTAGGTGCTATTTGTAACATATGTCACTAAACTTAATTGAAAGGTATACTAGCTTAAACTTGAAGTATTGACACTAACTGTCCTGTAACTCAGTATTCATGAGTATTATGAGGATTCCAGAAGAACTATTCCAAAATATTCATAATATATATTTGTTCTGTAGTTTACGCACATATGTGTATGTGAATTTGATGCAAAATAATTTCACTTTTCCACAAACATTGATTTTCACTTTAGACCACAAAAAACAAGACACTTCAACGTGTCGTGTTTGTAAACACATTTCAGTGGATTTCAGTAGCCTTTCACCTTTATTTACCTTGTCCTCGAACATTCTAAGTATAATATATTGCATATCCAACTGTTACTTACCCACAGTAAACAAAGTATTGTCTTTACATATGTTTATTGTATTGTTTTAGAAATGAACTATGCAGGAGGGTAAAATGACTAAATTCTTAGACCCATCCCTTACCGCACACCTTCTTGCACTTAAAAAAAAAAAAGCATTTTTCATGTGTCGCAAGAAATCTGGTCAAATAATGTTTTTTCTTTTTACATACTCTTCATACATCTATATTAAAACTGTACATTTCTATGTAAAACATAACTTTGGAACTAAAATGAATGCGGTAATTTCACTTCCCATTATGTAACTTGTAAAGAATAAACAGAAATTCTTAAAGTACATAAAAGTGATGTCGTAGGGGCACTCTGTAGAGGTATATTTAATACGCATTAATATATCTAAGATGGTTTTCTTTAGTAATATTACAGCCGCCATATACACTTAACAGCAGGTGCCAAATAAATAGCCTTTGATTTAAATCATTTAGACATAATACTCAATGAATATTTTTTGTTGTTCTGGACTTTGCAAGCTTTAGAATTAACATGCTTCGTTTTCTCTTTGAAATTGATAATTACCACCAAAAAAAAAAAGATCCTCCATATACAGTATGACAATTCTAACGTTTATGTATTATGCTCTAACAATACTAGAACCAATTAGAACAAAAGGAACTACGACAAGTTCGTCAGGTGAGGAGACATTTTTGTTCAAGATACAACTTTCGAATGTGTTATTCTTATTTTTATTAATTTGTATTTTGTTTAAATAGAACATGTTCATCTTTGCGGAGAACACGTCTTTGTTTGACTTTCAAGAAAATAGCTTACTTTTTTAACGTTTCAAGGTAATAAACCAAGGTTTATTATTTCGATTTGTATCTCTCCAAATCTAAGAAATGATGAATAGATGAACAATACACTTTAGTGAGAGAAGGGAAGTAATTGAATGTATGACTTTAATTTTTCTTGATATTGCTTTATTCTGTGTATGCGCGTGTTATATGTCATATTATTGACTTCATGAGATAATAGACAGGATCATACGAGGTAAATATTTATCATGATTAAACACAAAGAAGTAAATTTTGATGTTGAATTTGTCTCACAAACCCGTCCATTCTCCTTATTATCATCTTATATATAACTTAAATGGAAGGAGTATAGATGTGGAGAGGATATAAGCTTTAAATCACATTATAATATAGCAATACAAATTGAGTGTAACCAAAACTGTATGTATGGTCTTAACACTATGCAATTTCAGCACTTTACGCACCTGATGAATAAGCAATAGCATTAAAGTATGCCATTGTAAATTATGAAATGTGATAAACAAATATCAGAAAGATCATATCAAAGGATGTGTATTCATCCAAGCAATGTATATTGTTCCCCTGTTACTTCAGCAAATATATGCCTACAGTATATTTGTGAACACAGACCAGAGTTCAAAGTCCTGTTTATGCTTTGATTGAAGTGAAGTCTCATATATAGTAGGTGAACACGCATTTCAAAAAATTGTTCCTCAATTTCATCAGGAGGTTCCTGTTTTGATCGGAATGAATTCAATCGGGAATTCCCCCGATTATTTATTTGATTCATTATCTGAATAATACACTACTATAGAACGAATCAGGGTTGCTGTTGGTAAAATGTGAACTGACTTTTAAAATCTTAAATTTCATATTTAGAATGAAACTGATAATTATTTTATTTTTCGGTGTTTTCGTTTTATATGGCTCAAACACGTTGGTTAGTGTATATTTTTTAAATTACAGTTATTGGGTATAAATTTGATTCTTAAAGTTGTTATATATCTATAGATACCTGTTTGTTATATTGTTGGCATGGGAGCTTACATTTGCTTCGGCGAAATATTTTCCTGGTATTGTTTTTCGTCAAAAGTATAAGGTTAGGGTTGCGATTGGGTTTGATGTAGGGTTTAGAGTAAGGGTTATGGTTAGGGTTCCGGTTGGGTTTTAGGTTAGGTTCAGGGTAGGAGTTAGGATTAGGTATAGTATTTAGATTTAGAGTTAGGGTTAGGATTAGGGTTGCGATTGGGTTCTGGGTTAGATTTAGGGTAGGAGTTACAGTTGCGATTAGGTTTTAGGTTAGGTTTAGCATAATTGTTAGGATTAAGTATAGTATTTAGATTTAGAGTAAGGGTTAGGGTTGCAATTGGGTTTTAGGTTAGATTTAGAGTAAGGGTTAGGGTTAGGGCTGCGATTGGGCTTTAGGTTAGGTTCAGGGTAGAGTTACGGTTGCGATTAGGTTTTAGGTTAGGTTTAGGATAAATGTTAGGATTAAGTATAGTATTTAGTCTAGGGTTGAAGCATTGAATTCGGTTAGTGTATGAAATGGATCAGGAGCAATCGTCCCGTTAGTATGTGTCATATACGACCACTGAGTTGTTATAGAAAACTAATCATAGGTTTGTATATTGTGTGCAATGCTTGTATGAAACATTGCTCACCATCCAGATCCCACACCATGTACCTGTAAGCCAACTGGTCTGAGTTCTGGAGCTTCTGCAGGTATAGCTGTCTTAGCCATCCTGTTAGTGGCTTCTGTCATCATCAACATCATTCAATTCATCATGTTGAGGAGACATGAGACCAGACTAGGTGACTATATTCATCAACTCTACTAGAATAATAGTTGAACGATGGAATCAGAACAAATAAAAGCTATGTAATTGTTTATTTCATGATTGTTTTAACTGACTGTTTAGAAAGTATGTGTAAAATATGACAGCTGTAAGTCCTCTGTGAGGGTCTTTGTAATGCGGATGGAGCCTTAACAAAGCATATGAGTATATTGACTTGGTATTACTGAAAGAGATTAAGGAAACATAATACTGGAAGTTGATAGCGAAAGTATTTTTTCTTGCACATCATAACATCTATTGCTTTCCTGATCGAATTTCCTCATATAGAGATCCATTTACTTTAGACTAAATGTTACTTCCTTGTTGATAAATGTGCCATATACCTCGAAGTTATTTTTTCCTGCATACCATTACATCTATCACTTTCCTGAATGAATTTCCTAAGGAGAGAGATCCATTTACTTTAGGCTAAATTGTACTTCCTTGTTGATAAACGTGCCATATACCTCTACTGTGCGTAGAAAATGTTTCAACATTTTGATATTTGCTTTTTTTTTTCCTTCTTTTTTTACAGGTTTCGAAAAGTCGGAGAAAATTGTTTCTGGGTAAGTATTTAGCAGATCGAAATGTTCAACATAAGAAATTTGTATAATAATAATAATAATAATAATACATATGATTTATAAGGCGCCAAATCCACTTCATAGTCAAATGCTCAAGGCGCAGCTTGTGCAAAAGATGAAATACATACATGATACATTTATACAAAGTGCGATAGGAAAGGTACAGACATGAAAGGTTATGGTAATCAATTATAAGCTAAATTAAACAGATATTTCTTAAGATTGTTTTTTAACACTTCAATGTTATATGTTGTTTATAAATCATTATTTGGGAAACGGAAATGATTAGCTATGTACTTTAACCCACAAAATGAGCAACCCTGCTCTAATACAAGTATTTGGAAATTAGTTACTTGAGATGGCTATGAGATGGCGCTGTACAATAAACAGTTCGCTAGGGAAAAACGTTTATAAGTTTGGTATCACTTGTAAATGCCATATTGAGGAACATCAACGTTTTTGTTTTTTTACAGAGAAGGAAGAAATGTATCCAATGAGGAAAACGACAACATGGCGTATGAGATGATTCAGAGCGGAGATAGAGGTGAGAAAATGTGTAAAATCAGTCAAGAGTTTAAAACAAGGAATTCACCCACAACATAAACAGGTAGATGTATGGCTCTGTACATGGGAATACACATCTTAATAGAAAGAAACGTCTCATAATCACGCTATCATACTAAATGATAATCATTTTGCCCCAAACTGCAGAATACATCACAACTACCAAAGGCATTACTGTGTATTAATTTATTAAAGTAGTAGTATATTCCAAAAGAAAAATGATAAGCTTAATCATTTTCTTTCAGATTATTGCTAGGCCTACTAACTTAACAGAGGTTGAAAATTTACCTCTAATTACGACCGATTTAAAAAATCTCCAACACACACACAATTTTTTTTTTATAAGTTTATGGTAAATACTCATTCACTTTCGTGTTATATTTGAAAGAAATCTAGAAATGATTATCCAAGAGTAGCCTTATCCCTGTTTTAGAGGATGAAAGATTGCTTGTATTTGATTTTTCAAGTATAAGAGTCGTTTTAATAATAATCTTATTTTTGTTTTTATAGCATACACATCTCTCAAACTCGGTCCATCCCACTCTCCCATCATTGCTCCTGAAAACGTGACGTTCTTCACCAGACTCGGTTCAATCGGACGCGGTGACTTCGGCGGGGTATGGAAGGGAGAACTCCGCTCGAATCAAAGCCAAGTAGACGTTGCTATCAGGCAGATTCCAGGTGAGGTTTTGCCAACCACTCCCTAAACAAAATAATGAGGTAAAAAGACCGACAAGCAAATCGCTTAATCGCCTAAAATGAGACGTTTATTTATCATCGTAAATAGAAATGCCTTAATTTACCTTTCTATAAAGTTGAATTTCAGTGTGACCAAAACAAGCGTATAAAGTAACACATCGCTTCAAAAGTAAACCATGTATATATATATATATATATATATATATATCAAACGATTCAATTTAGATAATCCTCCGTCATGGCAATATAAAAATACTAATTAAAACAGTTGAAATACAAATTCTTGAGAGTTCATTTATTCACTTTAGTTCAATTGTGTTATTTAGTATATTTATATATTGTCATGTTTGGGGATCGGTTTTTAGATGAGGAATATAATAGATATATTTTTTGGCAGAGTTAGTTCAGCAACTCTCAATACAATTAAATCGTATAGCATGGAGATTAAAGAAGTATGTGTTCGCCGGTTGATGGTTAAAATTCAAGTCTCCTGATTAGAAAAAAATTACTATCAGGAAAGTTTTGGAGAGTGAAACAAAGTTGGATGGGTGACTTAATCATACTTCTGATTGGTCTTTGGTCAACTGTCTATCAGGGTTGCTATGGTATTACGGGGAGTGGTAATGGATAATGTAAGTGACTAGGGTAGGGCCTATGAGTCTTGGTTCTTATAATGTGGTTGCTTGAAGTCATATATATATATATATATATTTATATATATATATATATATATATATATATATGTGTGTTATTTAGTAATTCTATTGACACTTTGCCCAAGAACATCATTTTTGACGATACCCCCTTGGAAGTTGTTTCATTCATTACATGTTTAGGCATAACTGTTGATAACAAACTTTCGTGGAAATAACATATAGATAATACATGTAAGATCACTTCACGGAATATTGGCATAATAAATAAACTTAAATTTCATTTTCCGACATCATCCCTACTCATGCTTTATTCATCTTTAATTTTACCATATCTGAATTATGGGATACTTACTGGGGGCAACACGCAGCAAACTCTATTAAATAGACTGTTATTATTACAAAAGAAGTCTCTCCGTATTATTTACCATTCTGCTCCACTCTCACACACAGACCCGTTATTTGTTAATGGCAGACCATTAAAAACAAATGACCTGTATCTACTTCACTTAGGACAATTTATGTATAAGTATTCAAGAAAGACCCTTCCACATATATTTGATGCCATGTTCCCCCTAAATAGGTCATTTCATGATTACCCAACTAGACGGTCAAACGAGTTTCACCTACCACTCTTTAGAACATTATTAGCGAAGAAGTCTTTTATGTATGATGGTCCTAGATTTTGGAATTCTCTAAGTGAAGGTATTAAAAATAGTCCATCCCTAAATTCTTTAAGAAAAATCTAAAAACATTTTTGCTTAAATCTTATACTAATATACAAGGATAATCTGATAACGGTTGGTAATCATCTTAATTTTTCATTTAGGTTTTCATCATCTGCTCGATTATTTTAATATTTATTTGGTCTTATGATCTTACCTTCCCAAAATTAACATTTATAACTACCCTTTTTTCGGTCATGATTTGTCCTGCTTCTTCTTCCTTCTTCCCCCTATTTCCTTTTCCTTCTTATCTGTTTTACTTCCCCTTGTTCGTTTCGTGTTTGTACATTGTATGTTGTTTTGTAATATTGTCTTGTGTTTTCTAACTCTTCGTAGGCAAAATTTGAAACATTAAATTTTTATTTTTTTCTGGGGGATCCACAAACTACAAGCACTGCTTTTTAGTGGATCCCCCACATTTCCTCAGAAATTAAGAATTTATTTCAATAATTTTGTTATGTGCAAATTTTATTTGTATAGTTTCCTGAAAAATGAATTATGTATGAAAAAAATATGAATATGAATATGAATATGAATGTAAATATATTCATTTATATTCACTTGTCTACACAGTTTTCCCTTAATCTTATATATTGACAACTGCATGATTGAGTTTAACGAATCACTCTCTGCGAAATCGAAAGCAAATGTGCTAGTTATATATAGGATGTATCTTCTCTTAGATCAAGTGACCAATTCAACCAACGTTCTTCAAGCTGTCAAGGTCCTTTCTGAGCTTCCGGATCTACCTAATATTGTCAAGTGCCTCGGATATTGTCAAGAACAAGGTAAGAACACTTCCTCCCGCAATTACAAAGCTTTTGATTGTCGCTAAAATCTTTACATATTCATGCATATGAGCATTTAATTCTAATAATTTGCAACGCTACCTAAGCTATCATCCCTAGAGGTGCAAAGCATTTTGAGTAGGCTTCGCGTCTGAATAACCAGAAACGATACAAATAGTAAAACAAGATTGTCTTGGAAGAACAATCAATTTTATTTGATAATTATTCAAGATGTTTTTCGTATACTATAACATGATGTCTGATAAAATACTGTTTTAAATATCAATGTGATTCAGTATTGTTTTCCATTGAATGATAGGTGGTATTCTGTATGAGTTCATCCCTGGGGGTACCCTACTCACCCATCTACAGACCACAGGGGTGCAGTCTCAACCCACATATGGCAATCTCAAACCAAAGAGGGTTCGTATCGATGAAGGTAGTCTACTCAACCTGGCTTGGCAAATTGCAAAAGGGATGCAGTATCTTGCATCAAAGAAGGTAACATTATTTCATGATTTGCAATAGAAGAGAATTAACATAGTAAAATTGGGAAGGGAAAGGGAAAGGTCAGAGGAGAAAAATAACGATAAATTAAGTAGGCCTGCATGAGAAGGAGATAAATAGATAAAGGCAGTCTACTCAACTTGGCTTGGCAAATAGTCAACGGGATGTCGTCTCGATGCCGTATGCATCAAAGAAGAGGAGATGGGTAGGGGAGGGGGAGGAGTGGTTGAGAGTGAGAACATTGAGGCCGGGGATAAGTGCGAAAAGGATGAGAATTAACAAAAGTGGAAGAAGACAGGATAAGAATAGAAGGAGAGTAAGCCAGTATGGTATGAGGATGGTTGTGATGATCAAAGGTGAATAAATAACATCCAGATTTTGTAATTGTAGTTTTTATTTATTTATTTTTTTATTTTATTTTCATCATTATGTTTTTGTTTTATTTCTTAAAGATCATCCATGGAACTCTCTGCGCTCACAATGTGTTACTAGCTGATAGAAAGCAATGCAAGCTATCAGATTATGGACTATCTTCATCACTGTTTAGCGGCAGAGGTGTGAGTATTATCACCTTATTTAATGATAATAATTATCATCAGCATAAATATGGATGGCACATCTTTAATAATGATTTAATCGACAGAACATATTGGAAAATCTTGAAACTACTAAAACGTCAACATTGAATTATGTGTTTCATGATTTATCGCGTAAGTAATTTCCCCCTTAAATTGTTAACCCATAATGGTATATTTATACACCCTGATTATCAGCAATTTTATTTACCGTGGTGTTTGTTTCATTTTTGGCATATGCAATATTGTTTCTGATGTATTTTAAAATCTGCTTGTAAATTGTAAACAATTAAGCCATTGTCTGCTAATCACGGTTCGTTTTAAGCCATGAATAAATTATTATTAACTCTAACTTAAAAATGAATACAATTTTAAACCCTTTTTGTAATACTTTCCAACATCTCAGAAACCAACAAGATGGAGTTCGCCTGAAACCATGGTTATTGGTGAACAATCAACAGAAGGAGATAGCTGGTCTTTTGGTATCGTCTTGTGGGAAATTGTGACATTAGGTGAAAAAATAATGTTTATATCGCATATAATTGTGTGTACCATCTTAAAGACCTTGAAGTAATTCACGTAAGAAGCCTTTTAAACGTTACAGCTGTTCTTCATCAGGGCCCTGCAATTATTATTACCCTTGCAATATTATTGCCATGTGGAGTGGAGTGGATGGAAAGTGGTAAATATTGATTAATATCTTGCCAAAGGAAGTAAGTGCCGAGTTGGGATTCGAACCTTTAAACCTCGGATTTAGAGTCAATAGAATGAGACACTATACCACGAACTCCCCCACTTCACATGTATCATATGGTGTTATGAAGAAAAGTGAAATAAATAATTGCACTTAAATAAACAAAATATACCTCGACTTATTCTTGTTTGATGCATTTTAGAGTCGAAGAATTCAAGCCACTTTTTCCACTCTTTATGACCAACCAATAATATTAGCGTCTTTTAATTTATTGCATTATTCGTATTCAAATACATGTCCCAGATATGAATGACAGTTAGTCTAACAATTTGCACTTAATTCCGCTTGTACTATGAAGGGTTGAGGAAAATTGTATATACATTATATGATCAATATAATTTTTCTCCATAGCTTTACATGTCAATTATTTGTATATTGGAAATAAATGTTTTAATGTTATATTTCTTTGATTCTTAAAGGTGCGAGGCCATACCCTAAAATGACCTTTGACACTGTCCAAAAGGAAGTTGCCAATGGTTACCAGATGCCACGCCCTCGCCATTGTGGACAAGAAGTGTAAATCACACTCTTTCTATCAGTCTTTACTTTGTCGAATACAGATTGTTTCGTTAATGTTATAATTTACTTGACTTACTCGATGCTATAATAACTTGTAAAATTTCATAATTATGTTGATTATCATATGCGGATATGTTTCTCAACAATAAGTTACATGATGGAACTTGATTCTGCTCTCTTATCTTTGAATCTGAATCTTAATCTGAAAATAATACGTCTCAACACTCCCGTTGGAGTGAAACGACTCGGAGTGCATGGAGTGGGCTCGCACATGAAATAAAGAAACCATGCTAACGAAACTGCTGTTGCATACGAACTTTGAACTTGTCTTTGTATTATTCATTTAGGTAGTTCTATTAGATTTCTATTAAATAAGGATCGTCTCTTTCTTATCTTTCAGGTATGCGGTAATGACTGGTTGTTGGGAGAAGGAAGCTACAAATCGGAGTAACTTTGATCAGATCCTCAAGAATTTGGAAAGGATTCTAGAAAAGACTCATGTAAGATATACTCAAATTACCCTCTTCTAACTTGTCTAATGCGAAATTTAGTTTCCTTATTACGTACCCGTTAGTATTATTCCGACTTTTAAACGCGGTTCTGTTCAACAGGTATCATGAACAAAATTCTAGCCCTGAACCTAATAATTATCTTTGCAACTTTTGTTCCTTCTTTTCTTTTGATTTTCGCAGAATTACCTGTCTCTCAATGACTTGGATGAAGGATTGTATGCGTCTACACTGGACATGTGAAAATAAGCCTTGTTCGGATTATGCAGCCATACTACAATGCAGCTACATCTTTTACGCTGTACGATGGTCGCATCCGAGCCAACTAAGCTACAGTAGCATTATGGGGACTAACTTGCGTTAAATTTGGCCAAGAGTGCTGAATCAGGATATCGGAAATACATGTATTAAATATGCATTCAGTATATGTATATTTCTTATATTTTTGTTCAAGGTCATTTGGTAGAAATAAAAGAAGAATACAAATTAAAAGAAGTAATATTTAAAATATCTAAAGGTGGAGCTATTAACCGAAAAATGAAATTATGATCTCATATATTCATCACTACAATCTCAAGGTTTACCAATGTAAGTGTCATTACATAGCATTATTGTATGTAGATGACCACCTATTCCCTTTCTTCTCCTTCTTTCATCACCCTTCCGCTCTGTATGTCTCTCTCCTCTCTCGCTCTCTCTCCTCTCTCTCTCTTTTCCTCTGTGTCTCCTTTTCTTTTCCCCTCTCAAACAATTCATATCTCTTTCGCTTTCTCTCTCTCTCTCTCTCTCCCTATCGCTCTCTCTGTCTCTTTCTCTTGCGCTCTGTTCCCCCCTTTGTCTTTCTCCCTCTCTCTGTCTCAATATATCTCCCTCTCTGAACCGTCATCTATACATGTAAATAATACTTTTCATTTAATAATAGACTCTGACGTGTTAAACCCCCATGATTATATACAATTGCATAAAGATTGTGTACTTGTATTTTTATGATTCCACTTAGTCCCTTTTTACCATGCAAATACTTCTGTATTTTATTGTACAATTCAGCCCCGGGCTGCGATGCATAGCTTTTTAAAAACTAAACTATTATTAAGGTCTTGTTTTTGTTAATGACTCTTTATTGAGTTTCAGCGCACTCCAATCAGACATCGAATTTTGAGATCGCGAAATCTCCAGGATTCCTTGATGATAAATTTTCTAGTTGAACACATTTGTAGTAAAAAACTTCGATGGCCATTCGGTAATAATTGAACTAAATAAATTAGAGTAGAATATGAGAAATCATGGATCGAATAGCACATTTCCTAATATTTGTAAAATCTCCACGAACTTTGGTCACCCCATCATACATGTGTGTGTGTGCGGGTGCACGCGTGTACGTGTGTGTGTTGATTATAAATATGAAGGACACTGTTTATAAGGTTATGTCAATACATTTTCGATGGTAAAATGCAACGGTATGGCTTCACGATGTTTTCTATGCAGTACGTCGATTACTTGTCAAAAAATTTCATGTGAAGGAATCACTTTTTTTTTAAATTTGTACATACCATTTATACAGAATGGATCCACGAGCTATGCAAGTTGTTAAAGTATATAGCTCAGCAATGACTAAATATAGAAATGAATAGCTAGTATAATTTTTTGCTGGTCATAACGTTCTGGAGTGTACATACAGTTATTTTACAACTCAACAAAACTGGAATGGTCAAAGAGATTCTGTATTGAAAAATGTGTTTAAAAGAGAAATCAGAGAAAGCATAGAAATATAATGTAGCGGAAAGGAAAGTATACAAACAAAGGGAAATACATGTATGAATTATCAAAAGAAATGGTTGAACTTCGTTTGATAATTTGACTGATATGTGTAAGTTAAAGTTGATGTTGTATTTACCTTTTGTGTTATTTGTGTAATATTGTTCTTCTAGTGATGTGTAAGATTTGAATATGAAATAAATCCTCCAATAAGGCAAATATAATCCTTCCAATGTTTTTCAATGTTTTTTTATGCAATCACTTTCATGTTAATCGCGAACCTCTATGTTTAAGCATACTATAATTAAAGGCTAAAAATAAATCAGTTTTTTTGTCCATCATTTATCAATTGAAAAATACTGACATAAAAAACATGATTATACTGATTACAAACAAAAACAAATGAAATTTACTTACATCACTAAATTACTTATACTTTTTTAAACATATTTTTTTTCTTCCAGAGGTGATACTTTTCAACATTTGCCCTCCATAATATTTCTTTTAAATAAATGTCGAATATGTTAATAGAATAACATCTTCTTTTTCGTGTATATTAAACATAAGAAACTGAATTAATTCATAGGTTTTCCACAGTTTTTTGTTTTATAAAACTCATTTATTCACTTTTGACAAAGAAAATTTGACACACTATTGAATTTATTTGATAGGCCTACTGCTTCTTTCTTATAATGTATTTATGTTAAGTACTACTATTAAATTTTTAATTTATTTTTGAATCTGATAATTTAAATCAAACTGACGATGATCTGTCAAAAGATCATGATATCATGACTAGGCATATTAAAAGTCTAATTCTCTAACGAGTTCTTAAGGTAAAAAAATATTGTTATAATATATGAAATATTGCTGATGCAAAACGTATTTGGCACATTTAGAGTAAAACAAATGTGCGCATAATTCAGATTTAGTTTCATTTGTCTGTTCTAAAAAATAACCAAGGTTCTTCACTGTAATTGTGTTTTCTCTTTTATTAAAGAACGTAACAAATATGCTCACGTTATGTTTCACTTGCATTGGGCCATATTAAAACAAATATGTTGGCGCCTAAATGTTAAAAACGAAAGTTGGTCTTTAATGTCAATAGGCCCCAGTCTGAAAATATCTAGTTACGATTATTTTGGTTAAATGAATAACTTGATATAGCACGAGTGAAGTGTCTGCATATCCTCTCTTTCCGCTCCCCCATTTCCTCTCGCCCCACAACACTACAGACTAACAAAAACAGGAATTCTGAAATACGAGAGAGAGAGAGAGAGAGAGAGAGAGAGAGACGAAACTTGGGGAGGTAGCGCATTTTTACTATATTAAAAAAACATTTAGGATACTGTTTAAGCATGTATATATTTTACCTCGTATATATATTTGTGAATCAACCAATTTAAATCAAACAATATCAATATGAATAAACATTGGCGTAGGGAGTAGGGTCGTCTAAGAGATATGCCAGCAAATCATTTATTTTATCGGCAAATCATTTATTTTAATGGTAAACAATTTTGGAGCTCTCTTTAAAAAACCCTCCTATTTAAAAAAAAATAAGGATGTCACGCTTCAAATTCGAATTTAAACAAAATGTAAACATTTTTTCCTGAATGAATCTCTAATTACCGGATATGGCTTCAGTTAATGTTATAGTTTGCGAACATTTCTTTTTCTTTTCTCTAACGTGTCGACAGAGTTGTTCACAGTGTTAAGAAATACTGCGTCTATGGATAATCGACGGAGCGTAGTGACCGAGCGAGAAAGTTTTTGATTTTGAAATGAAAAAAAAAGTTTATATTTGGAGCACTAAACAAATTATTATATATCGGTGTAATGCTAAATAGGGACATGTAACTTCTTTTTCTATGGCGACTCCCCCCCCCCCCTAAAAAAGTTTTAAAAATCTTGAATTAGAAGGGGGGGGTACGAACTCCGAATCGGCCCCTCTACCTCTCTTTCCGAAGCCTTATGACTTGAGTTCGATCTACTCCAACTGTTTACAAAACAAATATTTGTCTTCTTGAAATATAGTAATTCCATTAAATATGATGATTTCATGATGATAATTATGGATTGCAAAAGTGAGACGTGATAATTTACAAACATTAAACCCATTAATATGACTCCGTATAATGTCATAATGCCATTTAAGTTGATGTATAGCCTATCCTGTGCAATATTATACGTTGACGAAACAACAACGGATTAGAACTTGTCTGCAATACGCCCTCACACAGCATGCGGGGTTCAATTTATGTAATCGTTCATATCAATTGTGACCTTTGATTTACTGTTTTGATTATTACCAAAAATAAGCTCTCCTTTTACATTAGTACCATGTGCATGGAATCTTGAAGGTAGCTGTAAAGGTGAGTGTGGCCGCTTTTCTCATTACCTTGTATTTATGGTATCTCTACTATATTAGTGTAATTGCACTCTAGATGGCAAATATAAGATTGTAAAAATGTATTAATTGCAGTTTAAATATACGATGCATATAACATTTCTTTTGGTAAATTCTTAAATTCTGCTTGCACTTCGTCATTCTGATTGCACTTTAATCTATAATTGTACTAATACATGTACAAACATATTAAGAATATACAAGCACGCGCCATACGTTCACTTGTCTAACAAAATTAAGCATGAACTCCCAAAGAACAGGGACAATACAATTGAGTGCCTTTGTGAGTGGTAAATAAACATACTCTTCTGGTTAGGGGAAGTAAACGCTCGACCTTGGCAATCCTTTCCGTTTCTTTTCATTTGTGACAAAAAATTCCGTCTGTACACGGTAACACTTTGGCAATTTTCTGCCATAACTTTCTGACTCATTATTCAAACACGTCTCGGAAGTGAATTCGAATTTCATAAAATAGGCGTTTTTTCACGAGCTGCGGACTGACTGAAACCCCACGACGTGCTGAAAATGTGCCGATAACTATATCGGACATATCAGAAGGGGGGGCATAATAGAGTGCCACCACCAACACCACAACCAAGAATAATGATTAATAAATTACAACGGATAAGGGGTTGAACATAAGATATTGACATTACAGACCTATGAATTAATTACTAAATTCTCCAGTGATTGTCATAGTTTTCCGCTCAGTTTTCAAAATTGCATAATTTTCTCAGTAGTTTTCTTGTACTCCTCCTTTTTTGTCTTTAAAACCCCTGGATAATGTTTGATTCCCCTGCTTTACATGATTTCATATCTATAGGTGGAATCAACTTTCCATACATTAATTGTTGTTATGTCTGGCAAGCCTCTGGCAATTTCTTGAATTGTCTTCAAGATGTAAGCTTGAAATTAGTGAATCGGTCTATAGATTTTGAATGAAGTTCATCTATTTCATTTACATTCTTACTTTTCAACCCAGATCTATACTACAAAATAAATTTGGAAATGATATGAAGCCAGACAAATTCAACTGAAGCTCTCCTTAAGAATCAGCAAGGAGATACCGGCAATCGAACTGTTTAGCATGGATGGTTTGAATGCTTTACAGGCTTTTACAGTCCTTCTGCTTGTTCATGGTAAGTAGTTCTTAATTTATCTATTTTTTAATACTAATTTGATATTACGTACACATTAAGAAATAAAGGTACATTTCTGCTACAATAGCAGCACCATATGCCAAATACGCGTAGATGGATGCAAATCTGTACCCCAATAGCACCCTTATTTATTAGTATGTACAGAGGGTATGATAAAGAGGTTGTTAATATGAACTGAACGCTGTCGCTTCGAAACCTAAATACTCCGGAGTTCTCTATTATA